AGTGGCTGATTTGCATCTGATTTACTCTTTTTGTGTAAAGGTTATTGAATCTCAAGATGAGTGTTAAAAGGGGAAATTGGCTCAAGCATGGATCTAATCTTAGTTTGGTGATCTTAGTTCTGTGTTTGGTTTGTTATGTTGGTAATTGTCAATTTGAGGACACCAGTGAGTTCGACAATCCAGCTGTTCTTCCTCTCATTACTCAGATGATTTATCGTAGCCTCTCTAATAGCACCGCTGCTCTTAACCGCGAGCTCGGTACACGAGCAAAGTTTTGCGTTAAAGACCCGTTAGTTTTCTTACTCTTAAAGCTATATTCTTTGGTACATTCTTTTGCTTGTTGAGTTTCTAATCTTGGAGACTTAGTTGCCGCTAAATTTTCGGTTTAGTAGCTTCACTTGCTTAACTTTTTAGGTGCATTAGGTGAAATGTGTGCCTTTTAGTTTTACATAAGTCTTGAGATATTTTGTTCAATCATAATCTCAGGGATGCTGATTGGAACAGAGCTTTTAATTTCTCTACCAACTTGGAATTCTTGTCTTCTTGCATTCGGAAAACCCGAGGTGTGGACTTTTACTTTTAGCGCGAATCCGAAATAGCAAATCGGTTAATTCGTGGCTGTTGACAAATGATAGAACCAAATCTTATTTATGTACAAGAATTGTGAACTTTTTTGGTTTTGGAACAGGTGATATTGGTAAACGTATCTGCACAGCAGCAGAGATGAAGTTCTATTTTAATGCTTTCTTCAATAAATCGAGTGATCCGGGAAACTTGAGACCGAATTTGAATTGCAACTTGACTTCATGGGTCTCTGGTTGTGAACCTGGATGGGGATGCAGTGTTGATCCAACCGAACAAGTCAACATCGAAAACTCAAAAGATTTTCCTGAAAGAACACAGAACTGTATGTCTTGCTGCGAAGGGTTTTTCTGTCCCCGTGGCCTCACTTGTATGATACGTAAGAGACTCGAAAACTCTTTGATCGGTATGTAAGCTTTTTTCAATGTAAAGGGTCTAATGCAGTTGCTTAAATTGTGCTCTGTTTTCAAAAGCTTGTCCCCTTGGTGCTCATTGTCCCGTTGCTACCCTTAATAAGACAACAACCTTATGCGAACCGTGAGTCTTTTTATCTGTATGTTTTCTTAGATATACTAAGTATGGAACATATGATATTATTGCGGGATAAGATGTTCGAAAATGTCGAATCTATAGGTATACTTATCAATTACCACCAGGAAGACCAAACCACACTTGTGGAGGTGCAAATGTATGGGCCGATATCAAAAGCAGCGGCGAAGTATTCTGTTCCGCAGGATCCTATTGTCCAACCACAACTCAGAAAGTACCTTGTGATAGTGGGTATTCATTTTCTCGTCCCTTCAAACTCCGTTCTATTCTCAATAGTTTTGATGCTATGCTTTATCAAACTAATGATGCAGCTAATAACCGGTTACATTTTTTATGTTGATTCAGGCACTACTGTCGAATGGGGTCTACGTCTGAGAAGCGTAAGTCTTCAAAATATCAATGAATGTTTGTTATTACATAACCATTTCCATCTGCTAGTTCTCTTCACTATTGATTACTTCTTGTTCTTGCAGCTTGCTTTAAGTTAACTTCTTGCAATCCCAACACAGCAAATCAGAACATGCATGCATTTGGA